GCCTCGCTAGTAGTAACAGGTGCCTTACTAGTAGTAACAAGAAGCTATTAGTAACAAGTGCCTCGCTAGTAGTAACAGGTGCCTTACTAGTAGAAACAAGAGACATTTGCAGTTCAGCGGCTCCGGCTGCACCATGCTGTACCCACCAGCCTCCGACACTTCGTTCGGCCTCGGATGACCAGGTGTTTCCACGCCTTTCTCTACTCTAATAGCGATGCACTTGTTCCTAGTAGCGATCTTGTTACTACTAGTAAGGCACCTGTTACTACTAGCGTGGCACTTGTTACTAATAGCTTTTTGTTACTCTACTGAGGCAAGGTGTAGCGATGTCAAATTCAGAGCTAGCGTCAGTCGGTCAGTCAAGCGTCCAGCATTCTCTATAAATCCGTTAGCCGGCGCTCGGAACTCCAGAATTCCACAACAAAGGGCATCGCTACCAGTAGCAAAGGGCATCGCTACGAGGAGCAAGGACGCTACTAGGGGCTCCTGGCCTTACTACTAGGAGCAAGAACACTACTATAGTAACAAGAAGCTACTAGTAGCAAAGGGCATTACCACTAGGAGCAAGAACGCTACTAGTAGCTCCTGGCCATGCTACTAGGAGCAAATAGCTAGCAGCAACAAGAAGCTACCAGAATTCCACAAATCAGCAACTTGCCTGTGTTCTGGCTGCCGGCGTCATTAGTGACCCCAGCGTTTTGGAATGACGCCTGCGACTTCTAGCATCTTTCTGCACTTGACCCAGAATTGGTCTTGGGAGGGGTGGGGTGGGATGGGCAGATCATTTGCGTTCCGAACCGCAAAGTGTTGGGCTGACAGGATGCGCTCTGACCCCCTGAAAGTGTTTTCTTTGTTTGGGTGGTTCTGCTTCGGTTGGTCAAGACACCCTGTCCTCATCCTGAGTTGAGACTTTGGTTTTCTGTGCACATTGAATACGTAGACTCCCTGATATCTTTAGCGATATGGACCAGGTGCAGTCTTGAGCGGTTTGTGTTGGACACGGTTCTAGACCCAGATCGTTGGACGTCGTCGTGTGGAGTGTTGATGGATGCGTGGACACGCTAGCCGCTCACAAATCACCTGAAGCAGCATAAACCCAATAGCATCCGCGCCAAATGTGCAAATGGCTTGAATCCACACATTATGAAGTATGTGTGGAGCTTTCAGTTTCGAAGAAACTGTGGGAAAAACTTGTGGAAGAGTATGGTCACAAAATGCTTCAAATGTTGAAGACGCCTGTTCGCTGAGCTGCCAAAAAGACGAGAGGGACAACATTTTGAGACATGGAAACTGTGATTACACTGGTTTGCACAAACAATGTTGCCTGGAGTGGTGAAAACAATACCAAAAAAAGGCATGCGCAAGAATGCAAACCTGCATTTTGTGGGGAAATCTACCTGACGGCACTGTGCAGGGTCCTTAACAACGCCGGCACCTTGTTCTGCACAAATATTGCTTGACTGGTCGCAGGGCCCAACTAGCTGTCGAGAGACGTGCTGGCAGCTGTGCTCAGCTCATCCAGAGACTCCTCACTTCGAGCTATCGAAAAAGCATGTCCATGATTCTTGTCCTCCCACACTTGCTTTCTCTTTGTCTCACTCTCCCTCCCCCGCTCCCTCCCCCTCTCCCTCCCTCTCCCTCCCTCCCTCCCTCTCACAGCCCGTCCTGGTCTGATGTGTCTTCCTGGTAAGCCTCAGGTCAAGTGCACCAAGCTGCAATGCAATGCGAGAATTATTTTCAAGTGATACTTCCATGACTGGGAAGCCAAATCATGCCATAAAACGGTCCCAAAACCATGAAGCCCCTGGTTCTGCATGCCGGTTCCTCAAAACGAATCATTTGGCAATGTTCAGATTCCGCCGTCATTTCTACCTTCTATAGCATCATCAACCCTCATGAGGGGCAGCGGAGCTCAAAATTGAAAGGAGTTAGCTTGTAGTCAGAAGTACTGCCATGTTGCTTGTACTTAGCTAGTGCGCTGTACAACAGCCTGCTGTTGCTGGCATGAAGTGTTGAGTAAAAAAACCTGTTTAAAGGCATCCTTGTTTGCAGTACACTCGCCAAAGATACCAAGCTGAAGCGAAAGCAGCAGCCGTAGCGGCCATGCTTGGAAGCTGGCCGACCTGGGATGCCACAAATTTTCCACTGGCAACTCTTCCAAGTTTGCACTATTAGGTTGGAGGCCATTACTACTAGTAGCTTCATGCTACTAGTAGTAATGGCCTCCAACCTAATAGCGATGGCCTCCAACCTAGAATGAAGCTTCTTGGTACTAGTATGGATGCCTACCTATCCCCACACCAAAATCACTGGGAGACGAGAAGACCAACGTTGGAGAGCATGTGAATCTGCATGCAATCCGTGTCCCCCTTCCCCTCAAGGAGGGCTGGATTGACCGCCTTGCTGATGTGGGGGTTCCCAACCAAGCGAGCATGACCATATTGCAAATCTTGGGATGGCCACAGGTCTCACAGGTGCCTGGATAGATGATAAGTCATCTGGACGTCCCACTCAGAGCTGCTGGATGTCCTACGCTGAGATCCCTCAAAATCCGATTCCGACGATCACGGCCAAGAAGCCTGTTGCCATCATGCGGGAGGGCTTCGCTGGCAAAGAGCTCCGAGGACAGGAAATGCCGTCAAAGCATCCGGCCGGTTCAAGCATGCTGGTTCACGAAAGGTCTGGTTTTGTACTGCAGCGTGATGCAGGGTGGCCACATGTTTGCTTTTGCCATCTTTTGCCACCCAGGCTGTGTTCCAACGGTGCTACACAAAAGATCATGACGGTATACAAGTTCAAAGCTTGAGACCCAAGGCCCAAAACCATGTTAGGCATTGCTTGTTTTGGGCATTTGGGAGGCCTATGCGCATGTTTCATGGGCGCAGCAAAATGCAGCTTGGCCCACAGATCGGCGCACAAGCATCTGTGGATTCAATTGAAGCGGAGAGATTTGTCGATAGAACGGAAGGATTGGGAATGTTCAAATCTGTTCACTCTGGCACGTCTGCATCAACAAGTGCTTACTTCCGAAGAATTTCCTCATGCACAACGCACATTGTGTTCAATCGTAGTGTAGTCATCTCTCAATATCAAACGACCAAACAATTATATAGGAAAGCTGTGCAGCGTTAGTTTCTTTATACATACACACACATATATATATATATCAGGACCGGCAGTTTGACCTGAGCACATGGTGATCCGCCCCACTGAATTACAGATCTGAAAGAACCCATCGAGGAGCTGACCAGCTGGACCTGATGGGGCCCAAATGCCGCATCGCTACGAACGGAGCGATCGGACGCTACGAACGGGGCGCTCCTGGCCTTACTAGTAACAAGAAGCTACTAAGGTAGGTGACTTTACGATGGCCGATGGCTCTACATTGACTCATAGAGAAGATCATCCGTCTTCGGATATCTGCTGCAGACCCATACGCTTTGGGGCATCGATGTCACACGTGGGGCTTGGTGAACCAAAATTACATACTGTACATCTCCTTCAACTGCATTAGCAGAAAGCAAAGACGAGAGTCATGGCAATGAAGCACAGACGCGAAGTCCTCATGTTTGACATCAAAGCGAAGGAAGAAATGATATGTTTTCGTCCTTCTTACTGTGCCCCTGAGGCCCTGGCCAGCTCCAATTCGTCCAGGCCTACAATCTTGGGGGCATCCCATCAAACGTCCCATCGATTCAAACGCATACATGCATGCAATCCATTCGGCGACTGCCAACTGCCATCCACTGCCAACGTGTCAACACGTGTGTCCAGCATCACTCACGGACGGACATGGCCTGCCCATCGCCCATGGCAGCGAAAAAGGAATCTCAGCTTCAAGGCTTGGGGACTTGGTGAAGAGTCTGGAGATGTTTCAGGCACCCTGTGGCCTAAGCTGGGCCTGGTACGGTTAGGCCAGAGCAGGGCAGAAGGGCTTACAAAAAGCTGCTTTTACATGCTGCGCGTGAAATGAACCGGTAGCTGATCGTGTATTGAGCTGAGGTCCATGATTTCTTGGCTTTCGCAAATTTATCAATGTCCACTATGGCTGTGTCCCATCCAATCCCATGTTTCCAAGTGAAGCCACGCGCTGCATGCGTTTCTAAGTCCAATTCTCAACTTGCCAGATCCTACTCCGAAGCATGGCTCGAGAGCGTGCGGGGGCTCTTTTCTCCTCAGCTCCGCAAAGGTGAGGCCTCCACACGGGTGGAGGCCACGATCCGGCCGCAATTAGCTGCTACCCGGCTACCCATCGCCATCAGGAGCTATTCGCAGCGCATCAGGAGCCGACCGCAGGAACGCATCTCACAACCTTCTCAGTCCGGAAGTGGCGCACCATTCGTCAGGCATCTCCTGTCGGACCCACGTCGATTCCCGAAGAAGCAGCGTTACCAAGCCAAGACCGCTCCTGCAGATGAATAGCCTCGGCTCATTGAGTCAGAGCAGTGCCACAATGATATTGAAATAGTTCAGTAACATTAGACTACATTGGTGACTAATTACATGTTTCATGCTTAATCATGCTTCCAATGCAATTTTAAGTCGTCCAATGCTGAATATTGCCAATGCGTCCAGAGTCGCAAGGTGTAATCATGGAAGGCAATCTTTCCCACCTGGGGTTCGAGATGCCGTCGCTCTCCAGCTCAAGCCGCTCTGCCAAGTCAACAGCTCCTTGCCCGTTGTGGCCGCCGAAGATGTATAAATGCAGGTCTCGGCCACGGAGCTGGGAGGGTTGCCAACCTGATTGGCGCAGGGTCCAAAGCAAACGAATTCCTAAGCAGCTGGAAACAACCAGGTTCCCACGGTCCAACTAGCTTCACAATGTTCAAAACAGCTGGATGCAGCTGGAGTGAACCCAGAAACCATCCGAAATGGGAAACCACTGGAATTCCAAGCGACAAAGACTTACAGCTCCCAATCGTGCAGACGGCATATTCGTCAAGAGCTCCCAGAAGTATTCCGCCACGTCAAAGCGTTCGATGATGGCCAGCGCACGACCGCGCCCTGCATGGCCTCCGGCCACGTACACGGAGGACCGGGCGGCGGCGGCAAAGCATCCCAAGCGCGCCGTGGGCATGGGAGGCAGCCGCGACCAACGGACCGTCGCCGTCGCTCCGCCCTCGAGGACGTCGGCCGAGGCCAGGAAGTGACCGCTGCTACGGCCACCGGCCACGTAGACGCGGCCTTGCAAAGCGGTCGCTGCACAGGCATCCCGGCTACAAGGCATCTCAGTGAGGCTTTCCCAGCATAAATCCTCCAAAAAAAGGTTCGAAACCATCTCTATTAGGTTGGAGGCCATCGCTATTAGGTTGGAGGCCATTGGTAGGTCCATCTCTAGGTGACATGGAGAACCAAGCGGTCCAAAGACACATATGTCATGTCATGTTTCGATGTCCTAGCTTGGAAAATTTCCCCAACAGTCCTCAACATGGAGGCGCTCTGCCACAGACAAAGGAACGTCATGCTGACACCCGCCCAGCACGTACAGGTAGGATGCGCAACTTGCAACGGCACAGGCCTCTCGACATGTTGGCATGTCTGGCAAGGCTTCCCACCGCCCGGTCTCAACATCAAAGCGCTCAGCGGTTGGAAGGATATGGCCTTCCTGTTGCCCGCCGATCACGTACAGCCACCCCTTTAATGCAGCACCAGCGCACCATCGACGTTCCGTTGGCATAGGAGGCAGCAACTTCCAGGAATTGGTCTCCGGATTGTAATGCTGGGCGCTTGCAAGTTCAGTTGTTGCCAAGCATCCTCCCATCACATAGAACTGTGGAACAGCCTCTTCGTGCAAATTGGGAAGCAGTCCCCTCACACCTTGGCAACACAAGCAGAGTCGAACAGGAGTGACCGGCTTCGAGACCAGTTTCCACCGTTCCGAGTACCACTTTCGTTTGGTGCGCCAAAAGTAGTACTCGGAGTCTTTCCGGAAGCATCTTACCCCGATGAAAACTAGCATGGACCCTTTCGCGCACCCTCCACATAAAACATCATAAAACCACTGGCTTTGTTAGAGGAAAGACAGTCCTCTAAGACATCGCCAAGTGATTTCACTGCCCCGGGTCGTTCGTGTTTGGGATCTGTCAACGACCCAAGGGTCTTTTGCCACCGTTCTTCGCCACAGCAGCAAAGCGCCGGGAGGTCTTTAAGCCCCAGAGCACACAGAGACCGCGCGCGAGCTCCGGCAGCGCGAGCAACGCGTGGAACGCTGCTGCCTCGGACGTCGCAAAAAAGAGGGCGTGTCCGTGGTGATGCGTGTCCTGCTCTGATCTTCGGGTCCCAGCTCTTCGTCTCCTTGTCTTGATTGAAGTGATGACCCCTAAAAGAAACATTTTATGGCCCGGACCCATGGGCATCATGAACCATGTCTCGACCTGGCGCCCACTCTGCGCCTGCAAGCGGGCCCGTCGGGCGGCCTCCTGCTCCAGGCATTCAGCCAAGTTCAAAGCTTCGAGACGCTCAGACCTCGCAGTGTCTCAGGGTCCGTAACGCAATATTCAGGTGCCATGTGCAAAAAATACTCTAGAACACATGTAAATGAAAATAATGATGAATCTCCTGCACTCGTGTCCAAGCTGGTATCTCAAAAAAGGTGTGAGGTTGCCATGCTCTGAGAAGGAAAACCGGTCTAAGCCAGGTGCAAATCATCTTCCTGCAGTGCCAGGGCCAATGGAAGGGCCACCGGCTCAGTTGCGCAGACCGCGCCCATGCAGAAAGCATTCGATCGTTCGCTCCGTGACAAGGGGGCCCTGGGCGACTGGCACCTGAAACCTACGAACGCGATGGCCTCAGCGATGGCCTCCAACCCAATAGCGATGTGTGTTTTGCATGCAAAGCCTCTTTGAATTTAGCTCTTTGAACCAAATTTCATGCCTATGTCTATGTGTCACGTGCACCATCCACTTCTGCCAGTGTCCAGATCTGTGTCAATGGAATTTCGACCAATTGCCTCTCCGCGGCGTGCACCCGCAGCGACGGCAGCGCGCTGCCGTTTCTTTTCACAACTCCTCAGACACCAATTCGGCGCCGAAAGAACATGGCTCGATCGCAGAGGCTCACTCTCGATCACGGCGTGCGCCAAGCATAGCATCCTTCCCTTTCAGCCCTTGGCCTCCAAGCGCCAAGGGATAACACACACAAACCCTCACCACAAGCGTCACAAGACTGTGTTTCTTGTGGTCAGCTACCATAGGCCTGCCATGGCCCGCTCACAGAGCAAAGAAAAACACGTTTTATCCAAAGCATCACAAACAGTGACAGTCTCAAGGAGCACAGTTCCAGGTGGACGTGCACAAATGGATTCTGAAATTTCATGCAAGTAGTGATGACATCGATCAATATCTAATTGAACCTATTTGATAAATATATTCACAGCGACGGTCTACATTGGTGTCTTTGGCACGTCCACACACCTGTGCCGCTCGCCTGAGTGGTCACGTTTCGGACGTCGCCACCGCTACCGATGTCATACCGCAGCCGCGAGCCGTGGACGAAGTCCGGAAAACAACAAGTAGTTCAAAGGGCTCGATTCGCTATTACCCCAACCGGCACCTAGCAAAACATCCCTTGAAATACACCACACCCACATAGACCCCTGATAGCGGGTGTATAGGTTCAAAGGACACGGCATGGACGGCTTTCACCGCAGAACGCAACATCAGACCAGCCCACCAATTTCAGTAACATCTATCAGCTGACCACCACGCTTTGCAACAAAGCATGGACCAGCCAAAGCTGCCCGGACGACATTATGATCATTGCTGCACAACACGTTGTCAAACACACTATGATAGCATGCCACCCCTGGCATGACATGATGTCATCCCTCGCATGACATACCGTCACCCTGGCATCACATGATGTCACCCCTGGCATGACATGATGTCAATCCTGGCGTGACAATGATGTCAGCCCTGGAATGACAATGATATCATCCCTTTCAAAACATGATTCAGCCCCGGTATGATGTGATGTGATCCCTTGCAAGACACGATGCCACCATTGGCATGACATGATGTCATCGCTGCTATGCCATGCTGATATGTGATATGATGTCATCCCTGTTCTGATGTGACATCATCCCTGGCATGATGTCATCTCATCCCTGGCATGGCATGATGTCACATGGCCATGATGTCGTCCCTGCCATGCCATGACATCATCCCTGGGCTGAGATGATATCATCCCTGGCTTGGCCTGATACCATTCATGGATTCCTGGCATGGCATTGTGTCATCCCTGGCGTGACATGATGTCATCCAGGGCCTGACAACGATATCATCCCTGGAAAGACATGATTCAGCCCCGGTATGATGTGATGTCATCCCTTGCAGGACATGATGTCACCATTGGCATGACAATGACATGAAGTCCTCCCTGGCATGACATGATGCCGCCCCTGCCATACCATGATCCAAAACGAAAACGCCGATCCAGAATCATTGAGAAGTTACAACCCTTACAGTAGCCTGCAGCTAGCTGGGACGCACACACACTACTAAACTGCTAAACTGCTAGTCGCTATTAGGTTGGAGACCATCACTATGGATTCAATTGATGCGCTCCCCCCTCAGGCTCGTGGTCGCATGCGGGTTGATCAACTCATGAGCTGCCCCGAGCAACTTCCGCTGAGACGTCTCACGCTCTTCACTGAGACGGCACACACAAACAATGCGCAACTGCGGAGCTTCATACGGCTCGAAACTCAAAGGCCCTCGGATTGGTCTGGATTAACTTCAAAGTGCATCGCTACTAGTAACAAGTGCCTTACTAGTAGTAACAAGGACGCTAGTAGAAACAAGTGCATCGCTAGTAGTAACTAGTGCCTTACTACTGGATTCACATTCATTCCATAGAAGTGTTCGATGACGGACAATATAGGGAACCCCTTCTACTACTGCAATGGGACAATACATCCTCAGGCGTTGGGATAGAATATATGCGTTCATGGACGTCTTTGACGTCACACAAGCATACCGTTCGTGGTTCAGCTATCTGGTGAGCTGCTTTATGACCTCCTACTCTTGAATTGAAACCCCACCAACTGAAAAGGAATGCGCAAGTACACCAACCCATTATAATTCCACAGGTCAACTTCCTTGGACTCATAACATTGGTATTCTCTTTCTTTGAGGGGGTTCTTGCTTTCCAGTTGGCTGCAAACGTGGACCATGCACACCTGCAAGTTCAAACACAACATCCATCGCACGGGTGCACACGATTCTCCCGCAAAGTGAACCACCGGGCAGGATTGGAAACAATGTCACACGCCTGACGCGACCGGACGATTCTCTTTTGTTTTGTCTTTCTCCATTCTCTTTCTTCTCTTTCTGCTCGTTCTAGTCCTTCTTTTCTCTCTTTTCTCTCTTTTCTCTCTCTCTCTCTCAGTAAACGAGCGGTCGAGAAAACAACTCTCGCCTTACAGCCTTGTGCTCACAGTCCAGCTATTGGAATCTCCCATGGACTCAGCCGCGCGGGAAAGCTTCCAGACATCCGTTGATTCAGGTTCACGGCTGGAACACACAAAAGCATGCCATGGCGCAGCCATCTAAGCTCAAGGAGTCAAACAAAGATCCAACACAGGCTTCGGAAAACCCCGCAACATCCTGTTTTACCTCCCCGTCCAAGTCCTGACCGCATCGAACTTGTCAAGCGGCCCATGTTCTTGCACTTGAGACCCAAGTCTGCGATGGGCAAGCCTCGCAAAGTCATTTCCTCATCGACCTTCACCTGGCACGTTCATGTCTCACGGTTGTCTCACTGTTGTGTGTGTGTGTCGGCTACCCAGCCTGCATGTCAGCGAAGCTCGTAGTGAACAATTGATTTTCGGCCCTGGTCAGATTCACCGCCTGGTCTACCTGGCACGTTGCCGCAAGGCCATCTGTTAGCAGGACTCTTCGGGATAGCCTATATATATTGAAATGGCATCACAAACAGTCACAGGCACTTGCACAATCCTGCCACAAATGAAGGCTACAGCGGCTACAGGCTAATTACCCGTGTGCCTCGTAGAAAGTGAAGATTTCAATAACTTGCCTGTTGATCTTCACGGGCGTGTAGTGCATGTAATCAGCCGGCATGCCGGAGAAGTGTTCAATCATCTTCCGCATTGATGCCCGAATGTCAGGCATCAAAGGGGCAACAAAGTTCTCGTCTCTCGTTGTAAGCTTGCAAGCAAGGGTGCCGTCAAACGTGTTCGTGAATCCTGCGAGCAAGCAAACCCGCTTTCGTGGCAGGCATTGATCCTGCAAAAGAGCCTGCACCCGTCCAAAAAGCCCTCGAGTTGCCAGCTTCGCTTCTATGAAGGTCTCCCTTTTCACCAAACAGATGGGCCGGAAAAACTGGCCACTGTGAGCATGGGCGTTTCTGGTTGAGATCCGACAGTCGTCAAAAGCGACATTCGTTGTTTCCCAAACCAGAGTCAAACCAGAGGGCTCTCACGGCAGTGCTTTAAGGCCGGGTGTCTGATCGAGGCGACGCGCGCGCGGGCGAATTCGCCACTATCTACGGTGCCTTTCACCTCGAGATCTTCGTGGCATCAACGCATTTCGATGGCGTCCCTGCCGCGTTTGGGACCTCCAGGACAGGTCGGTCCCACTTGACCAACCCACAAACCGAGTCGTCTTCGATGTTTTTCGTTGCTTTGTCGATGTGTCTCGGAACAACACCCTGGAACGGAGACAGCTGAGACATCGGTTTGTGCTTCCAGACGGCTTCAAGACGGAGGTGCGCGGGTTGATCGGACACCGAGGTCCCTCCCTGAGCGTGCTTGCAATGAGGCTTGAAATAATTTCAGAAGAGCCATCCTCAGAGCCATCGACCCAGTGGGCTTCATCAAGCTGGAACCGATGCCGCTGGGACCGACGTTGTAACGCACCGACTGATGTTCCAGTTCCGTCTCTCCACTCGGCCTGGCTGGGCACACAGGGCCCCGCCCGCGCACGATCGGGAGCACAAAGAAAGAGTAGACGTCGGAACACATGCCAGAAAGAATGCCAGATAGAATGTCGGAATTTATGGCAGAAAGAATGTGAGATAAAATGTGGGACAACGTGGAAACACTTGTCAGCATAATGTCAGAACACATCGTGGAACACTTGTCAATCAAACGTCAGAACAGCTGTATGAACATATGCCAGAACTCACGCCACAACACATGTACGATCACTTGTCAAACAAATGTCAGAACTGATGTCCGAATACATGCCAGACACACGCCAGAACACGTATCACAGCGGTGACCGAAGGCATGTCAGACCACATGTCAAAGCAATGCCGGGCAAATGTCGGAACAAATGGCAGGCGTATGATGGCAGAAGGAGTGCCAGAAACATGACAGAACAAAAATCAGAACACCTATCAGAACACATGCCACATTTGATGCCAGACCACAGTCCAGAACATTTATGAACATTTAAGACAAATTAGCCAGAACACATGCCAGGCTTGATGCCAGAGCAAATGTCAGAACATTGTGCCAACGCTTGTTGCAGGTGTCAGGCAGCATTTGTTAGGATAGTCTAGAATTATGTGCGCACTACCTTCTTCCAAATCGCCGTCGAAGGTGAGGATTAATTGAAGTAAGTTATATATAAATACATATAATGCGAAGCGTGCGAAACGTTTTCACAGCTCGGGCCTGTGCGGCGGTACACTTCTAGATTTGTGCGCGTCATGCCTGAGTGGGTGGAGAATGTCCATGTTCTGACACCTCCTCTCCACTCAGGCACCTCACACAATATTCAACTTGTTCGGCCCTTGTAAAATGGGGGGAATCCCTATATTCTTCAAAGCACTCCCTCTGCACTCTCAATCGGTTTGAGATGCTTAGAACAGGGATATGATTTTGTTTGGGGAAAGGACACTACCCCAATATTCCTCCGACCTGATGGGAAATGCGTGAAATTTAAATTGCAGGGCAGGGTTCCATACATTGATGAGACTTGCACCCCATTCTCGATCCCCGAGTCACTCAGGATGAGACTTACTAAGGTGCTCGACTCCATCCACCAGTTCACCATCGACCAGGGCTTTGCTATGGCCAGCCGCGAGTCTGAACCCGAGAATGAACAGGAAGACGAAGACGAGGCTGGCGTAGCTGCCAATGCCGATGAGGAACAGGTGCATCTCTCATCAAAATGAATTTTTCCATGGCGGCAAATCCTGTACTTGAGGCTTCGTTCCATCAGCCTCTTTCCATGGTTCGAAGCGAGCAGACACTCCTGAAGCGCCATATCGCGCTGCTCCTTCACTTTACATATCTCACTCTCCAACTCCTCGATGTAGGTGTCAAGTTGGAAGACTTTGTTCTCCATCTCATTTCGCTCAACTTCGCAGTGGGCAAGAGCCTCAAAGTCAACCCAATTGTCGGTCTGGGCCGCCTTGTCATCCATGCCCTTCTCTTCACTCTTGTATTTCGTGGTCTCCCTGATCATCTCGCTGAAGGCGACCTCGGTGTAGTTCCAAGTCATGTAGATCACCTTTGGCAAATAGCGCCGCAGCCACTCGATCAAGCTCAAGGCCCCAACCACTGTGCAAACCAGCCAGATCCATTGCCAGCTGTCGCTCCCTTCACTGTTGGCCTCCTCTGTCGGTGCACCGGCGACACTCTCCAAGTTCGAGGGCAGCCAAATCAGGCCAACATGAAGGTTCTTGTTCTTCAACACCTTCTGTGTTCCTTTTCTCATCCTTTCACTGTGCTCAAGTTCACGATATTCTTCATGTCCAACTCGATCTCCTGCACCGTCCACCATCTTGAGCATGTACAGCAGACCGAACAGTCTGCTCCTCGTCAGGCCTTTTGTGCCAGCGCTGATGTCATCGGAGTTCAGCTCTGTCGGTATTGGGCTCACTGCAAGGATCTTTTCCTTCTCCTTCTGCTGGATCCATAGCAGGGCGGCGTCCATGTGCCTGACCCTGCCTATGCCCTGCTCTGGACCATTGAGCGTGCTGCTGAGCTGTCAGACCTGACCCTCGTCTCACATGGCTCATCAACCACCTTCATCCAAAGATGCCGAACAAGTAGTCCGTCAGAGCACCCTCCAACCATGGAGATGAATTTGGCCTCGCCTGATGATAGTGACATCGACTTCTGGGACCGAACTCTTGACTCCATCAAATTTCAATCCAGCAGGATCTGGAATGACGATGTGCTGTTCCTAGCATAGTCGCCGTCGCACACCACCTCGAGCAAGTGCTTCTCCTTGTCCTCTGCCTCCTCAGCTTCTCCTAGGGCTTGTGAAATCTGTCTCAAGTTTTCCTCTGCCATGTTCCTGATGTAGGGGAGGTACAGAAGACCTTCTCATCCACTTTCGGTACAGGTTCCACGTCCTCGTCGAAGGTCCCAGTTGGCCAGCAGCTCGCAACCTTCCTCCTTTGTTGTTTCGTCTCGAAACCTTTCGGCTCTTCTGATGAATCTCCAGGTGGCTGGACAATGACCACCCGCCTTTTCCTCTACTTCTGTCTATTTCGACCTTCACCTCTCGTTCTTGTAGGTCACACTCTTCTCGCTCCGGGCCCAAATCAACCTGCCCACGTGCTCGTCGCAGTCCACCACGACCGCTCCTTTTTCCAGCCAAGGGAACCACGGTCTCCGGCAGGAAGTAGTTGGCCTCCTGAGTCCAGCTCTCACCTGCAGCGCCGGCGATGCACGCCAGCAAAAACCCAGTCGAATTCGCTCCCTGGGCGCAGCTATTGCGGCAAAGGGTCGCGGTGACACGTGGGCGGCTGGCACTTACGACCAGCGCTCCGCTACCACGCGAAGCGTGCGAAACGTTTTCACAGCTCGGGCCTGCATGGACGGCGGTACACTTCTAGATTTGTGCGTGACATGCCTGAGTGGGTGGAGAATGTCCATGTTCTGACAAATAACTATACTATATACAAGTGTTTTGGCGTTTGTTGTTTTGCTTAGTGTGCTGGACAAAGTTATACCATTAAAAACACTGAAAGGACACTTTTCTGGTCAGCAAACGAATCAAATAGACTCTCTTTTCTTGCGCACGCTGGTGGTAACCGGATTAGAAACGAAGCATAACTTCTACGATAGGCCTGATAGACAATTCGCTGGTCCAATAGTTGAAGAGTAGCAAGCCTATAGAAGTCAGATCAGTGCAATCTTGAAAGGTGTTGCACAGGTTCTTAGAACGGAGCTGCTCAGGAAAAAGAAAAGAACTGTCGGGCTGCACACGCGCATCTTCCCGTCACACAGTCCTGGACAATAATGATGATCATTGAGAGTGAGGCACCTGGCAGCCTCGAGCTCATCGCAGGAGTATCCAAAGGGCTCAGGGCAGGCAGTGCTCTTTGTATTGGCCGAACATTGGCAACTCACCGGGCAGAAGGCCTCGACGGTCTTGAACCTCTCAGCGTTTGGACCACACCAGCGGGGACCCCCAAACGTGAACAAAAAAATGCTGCGCCGAGCGAGTTTAGATGTTGCGCCGGGCAGCTCCCACTCAAAGGTGCTGTTCCAACCGAAGCAAGTCCCCCAGGACACGTTCTGGGCAGCCAATTCTGCACCAAAGCCACAGCCGTAATCCCACATGGCTTGCGCAATCTTCAGAGCTTCAGCTTTGCCTGAGGGCAAAGAGCGTCGTCTACTTGGTCTGCTCTAACGAATTCTTTTTCGGCACTCTTCAGGCCTCCCCCACCAAGGAAAAAAAAGATGTCATCTGTGTGTGTGCCACACTCTGCTTCTAAGAGTTCTTGGTTTTTGCAAAGCAGGGGGCCATCCCCTCCCCAGTGGCGGATGGCCAACGAAGAGGCCACTGGGGAGGGCTGCAAACGTACCTGCTGAACTGTTGCACAAGCTGTTCTCCTTTCGGTTTGCTTCTCATGGTGGTTCTCACGCTATTCCCCTAAGCCTTCCCCTTTTTATCTGCTATGTATTCAGTAAAGCGCTAACGCGTCAACATTGTTCAACATTTAAGTTAAGCCGACTTTGCGCCTTTCCGTTCCCTCATCCATTTCACTGTGGATTATGGAAACTGCAAGCCCTGTGACTAAGTGGGTATCGCTGTGTCTTCCCACTGGGTACACAGTGTGATCCTCTCGCAAGAGAGACGCCGAAGCCGTCGTGAATCACAAATTGACACAAATTGGTTCAGCGTCTTGAGTTCGTGGATTATGGTTTGGTTTGTTTTGTTTCACCCATGAATCAACTGAACCATATGCCGCCGGGGCGGTTAAGACTAAAGTCCCGCTCCCTAACTATTGCACGTAATCAACGGCTGCGAAGTATTCAGTAATTAGACCACACATGGACACACACACACACCCTCCCTGCCCCCCCGCTTTTTCTCTCTTATGCTTTCTTCGTTTTCTAGGTTTTCTTTCAGGCTCGTTAGGTGGCTCTTGAGGCTCGTTTCCCTGCCCCTCGGGCTTTGCTTAGTTCTTTCTCTCTTGCCTGTTCGTTTCTCTTTCTAGGTTTGCCTTTCTGCTAGAGGCTTTTTAAGTCTGTAATGAGGTTCTTCTTTTTCTTTTTCAATCAAGGGCTAAGTAGTCAAGTGCTAAGTAGTCACTTTTTCGCTAATTCCTATCTTTCTTTCTTGCCCTTTCCGTTTTGCTCTTTCTGTCTTTCTTTTCCTCTTTTCTAAAGGCTTTTAGGTACCTAGTCAGCTTCATTGCCAAAGGGCGCTCCACAGCAGAGTGCCAACGCTTTTTGAAGCACCAACAGAACTGTAACTGGTGCGAGGGTGCGCCGCAAAGCGGCCAATTGTGTGTGCCACACTCTGCTTCTAAGAGTTCTTGGTGTTTGCAAAGCAGGGGGCCATCCCCTCCCCAGTGGCGGATGGCCAACGAAGAGGCCACTGGGGAGGGCTGCAAACGTACCTGCTGAACTGTTGCACAAGCTGTTCTCCTTTCGGTTTGCTTCTCATGGTGGTTCTCACGCTATTCCCCTAAGCCTTCCCCTTTGTATCTGCTATGTATTCAGTAAAGCGCTAACGCGTCAACATTGTTCAACATTTAAGTTAAGCCGACTTTGCGCCTTTCCGTTCCCTCATCCATTTCACTGTGGATTATGGAAACTGCAAACCCTGTGACTAAGTGTGTGTCGAACCCTGTGTCTAAGGGAATTTGACAGCCGAATTTAAAGCAGGGGAGTGGTGCACGGTCATGGAGTCACCACTCAACGAAGACACTCCTTGACGCCTTCTGGACGTACCTGCCTTTGTGACAACACTCCAATCTTCCCACGCTGTTTGTTGTTTCCATGGTCCTTTGCATGATATCCCCCCAAACGTTTCCCCAACAGCTTCACCGTTTTGAGCGCCACCGCCGCTTTGCAGCTGACTGTTTGCGCGAGAATTCCAACAAGTGTTCAAACACTTTCAAATGTCTGGCGGACTCAATCGCCGTGCCGTTCCATCATCCCTTTCCCTGTGGATTCTCTTACTGAATGAAACTCAGTCAAAGCGTGTGACAACAACCAAAAATCAGAAACAGCACCCTCACCTGCAAGGTCGGCAGACATCTCACCATAGGCTCTGATCGAGTTGATCCATTGAACCCAGTTGGGGTTTGCCTGCAGGCTCGACGCATTCTTCTCAATGCAAACGCCTTGCTTCTTGAAGTCCTCTTCAGGTAGTGCCATGCGCTGTGAGCAGTGCAAAAGCCATCAAAACTGTTCTGTTGTCGAAGGGGGGGCCGCTAAGAAAAGGGTCGATCCTCGACCAACTCCTTGTCTACTTGCTGCGACTTGCGCCAAGTCAATCAATGTCAAGCAACTTTTAACAACAAAGGTTCAAAGGGCATACCAAACGATGCCATACCTTACTGCATTCCTGTACAGCTACCCCAGTTCAAAGTCAGCTTCTCAGAAGCTCCAACCCCCAAGCAATTGAAGCCACAAAAACGGCCGTCCTGAAACGCTTCCGTCGAAGCACATGGTCGGCCAGCCCCATACGGACAGCCCTGCACGGAGATCTGCCCGCTAGCCGGATCTTGACAGCCGCAGGTCTGTGAGCACAGCATCCGTGCTGCCCAGCCTTTGCCACCGTCCAGCTGATACTCTGGCATCCGGGTGAAGGAACCGCAGTCATTGATCACATCCTCACATCCTTGAATGGTGGCATCCCCCAAGAGGAACCTCAAGTAGGTCAGGTACCCGTCAGACGCCAAGTCAATGCACTGCGGGTTGTTCAGATCGAGGCTCTCTGCCAGGGTCAAGACCGCAACACCAGACAGCTGAGTCACGTCTTGAAGCCAAATGCTATACTGGGTATCATTCACACCCAGTGCAATACCAACCTCTTGCGCTTCATCCACAGCCAAGGACCTGACGAGTCACACACGACCTTCGACCCGAGAGGCGCCAACCGAGACCTTTCGACACGAGTTCGTTTGGGGGCCAATCACAACCGCTGCAATGTGCACTTATAGCCTATACACGTCAGATGCGCGAGCGTCTGCAATATGCTGTGCCGCAGCAGATATGCTGTATGTGCAGCTGTGGCAGCGGGGGCGGTAAAATCTGCAGTCCACAAGCTTGGCATCTACCTGTATACATCTTGTACAGTGTCTCTGAGTGTGTCCGCCAGTGTTGAGGGATCACAGGTCGAATCATATCGAATCAAGGTGTCACAGTGTCGAATCTGTCAGCGCCCCACTCTACTTGCAACATTGAGCTTCTTGAGCTTCGATTAGTCGCGCTCATGTTCCACGCTCCGTTCCATGGATGTTGCCTTCTTCAGCATTCTTTTGGCGAATCGGATGCCGAGCAGCTTGATACTGGTGTCCTCTGTGAAGCCACCACCGGGGGTCGGGGACATCAAAACCACTCCGCGCGGGTCCAGGTCCCAAACGAAATCTTGGTTTCCGCCACACATCGCCAGGCTGACCTCCTCCAAGGTCGCCACCATGGGTCCTGCGGGTGGCTTCGGCGGAGTGCGGGCAAGTGGTGGCAAATCACTGGCAGATCATTCCAACTGCAAAGCCATTTTCTTTCAAGCCCAGTTGGGTGAGCCTAGCATGGTGAAATAGACGAAGATGGTCAGGGCTGGGATGAAGATGGACATGCACACTGACTTGGCATCGGCACCCCTCAGGCGTGGCATCGATGGCATGGGCAAAGGGTCCAATTGATGCACCAAATGTCGGCCAGGCGTAGTGGCCAAGGCATCAAACAGCAAATCGTCAATATCCAAAATGATGCCCAAAGCCACGGCATTCAAAATGAGTTCCGTCACATCGAACGTATACACCAGGAAGAAGGTGCCCACAAAAACCAACAAACCTGAGACAGGTCGGGCAGGAACGTGTAAGGCAGCGTCTGTGTTCAATGCGAAGGCAGAGCGAACTGTCGAGTGCGGGTGCTGCACCTCATTTTCACAGTGTCTTTTCATGCCTTTTAGAAGCAATGGCCTCCAACCATGTGAAGGTGGCTGTTAACGCTTTTGGGTAAACTCTTGGGACATGTACAGGCGGCCAATCGACTCGCAACTGTCCGGGGTCAGTTCTTGTCTGCCAATTTTCCTTTACATCGGACCAAGGACCAGAACGTGTCAACGTTGTGTGTGTCACGTGCGTCGCCCCTGCCTGCTGACACCACACGGTAGGTGAAAAGGCAAAAGCTGAAGACCTTGCGGCGCTTCGCCACCGTGCGCAGCCGATAATGCCTCACCTGGCGTCTCGACGCGCCGCGAGACGCAGCAAAAAAAAACAGACCGCAGGCTCGGTCAGAAGGGCTCGGTTTCAGTCTGTGGGTCCGGACTTGGGGTGCACACTTAAATAGGGCATAAGTCTGGCATAAGTCTGGCATAAACGTATGGAAGTGACGCCACTTTCAACGGCCAGGAAGCCGCCCGTTCAGAGCGGCTGCCGGCTCTGAGTCGGGAACTAGTCGAGCAATGGGCGAGTCCGTAGCGTTCTTCCGAAAGAACGGTTGCAAGTCGGGTGAGGGGCAGTGGGGTCCAATGGGCTTCTTTCAACGCGAATGCTGAGGAAAAAACAACCTTGGAACCTAATAGAGATGGCCTCCACCCTAGCAGCGATTCCCTCCAACCTGGGAGAAGAAAAAATTAGTAATTAACCTTGCACATTCTTTGCAGATGGCTAGCCACTCCTGGCTAAAGCGCCTGCTTCGCGGTCATCCCACCCCTGACCATCCCCACAGCCATGCCTGCCTGTGTGAAAGGATTCTCACGTGTGTCGATCCGTGTAGCTCCGGTGGGCGTCGCTACGATGCTCCGATGCAGAGCCAGTGCGTGGCTCACCTGCAGAAGCAAGGCTCGGCCAAAGGCCACGGCACGGGTCCAATACGCAGTCACCAGGGTTTTGCGACGAAACGGAGCAAGAAGCTAGGTTGGAGGCCATTGCTACTAGGGTGGAGGCCACTACTAGTAGCAAGAAGCTACTAGTTACTAGTAGGAGGGAGAAGTTAAAGAAAAGGCGCTGAAAAGACCTCGAAAAGATTCGCAAAAGGATTGTCAAGACACCAAATTTTGTCAGAAATGCTCACAAAATATTCAGAAATACACCGAAATTAGAAATCACCAAAAAGGAATGTCAAGAGAGGTGTGAACGGCCTTGCCCCAAACCTGATCCTTTTTTGCGTCACAAATGGTCAAAAGAAGGAATCGTGGCCCTGGCCACTGTCTCCAGTAGATGTTCCCCTCCTGCCTCCTTGGCCACCATCAAATACCAGCAGATCAGCGCAACGATGCAAAGCATCTGCCCGGTGAAGTAGCTCTCAAAACCCTCCCGTCCGGCTTTCAAGTACTTGTCGATGTTCTCATAGAGGTCCACCTGGGGTTCTGGGAAAAGGGTGAGACTCTTCGACTCATCGATGTCAACCCAGCAAAGCTTGCATGTCAAAAGGCCCACGAGGCCAGCAAGGCCAGCAAGACGCGACCTGGCCTGAATTCCGGATTGTTCCAAGGACTTGTCAAGACTGCACACCCGTGTTGTTAAGGATGCCCTGGCCAACTCACTGTAGGTGGAGAGTGAATGCCCGGATGACCTGACAATGGGACCACACGCACCGAAAAAGGACACTCACAAAGGTACTGGGGTGGTGGAATGTGTGGCGACGTTTTTCAGAGTTTCTATCGGTTCGTCTCGGCCTGTGTTACACGATGCTTGATGGTTCCCAGAAGGGATCAAACAAAACTCAACAACTCCATCGATGCCCCCTTGTCGATGGTGAAAAGCACTTTCTCATACAAAATCTCCGTTGACCTCCATTGACCTGCTTGATTCACCGCACCTCCTCCACCTGGTGGCATCCACCACGGACTGATCGTTCACCTCCGCAGTGGTGAAGTTGAAATAGGCAATGGCCACAAAGACCACCTCAGGGAGCTGGAAGTTGAAGCGGAACCCCATCGCTAGCAGGGTGGGGGCCATCGCTAGTAGGGTGGAGGCCATCTCTAGTAGCAATGGCCTCAGGGAAGAAGTTGAAAGCGGAACCAAAACCCTGAGCGCCAGGATTTCGCTGCTCTCCGACTCTTTTTCGACCCTTGTTCGACCGCTTTCCACCTGCATGAGGACATTCACCACGGCCAGGAGACATGTCTGGAACGAACCACCAGGACCAAGAGCACCCGTGCCAATGAAAAACACCAGGTCCCAGGTAGATTCGCCAAACGAGTAGTACCTGACGACGGCAGAAACCACCGTGAACGGTGGCCGTTCTGGCCGCTCTTAGCGGCCGAACGGTAGGGACCCTGGGTGCGAGATGGAGAACATACAGAGCAACAAAGGGATGTACGAAAAAAGGCCCGGAAGAATGGGCCAAAAGCAGAGTGGTGTGGTGATTGGGCTGGCAAGCGGTATTTCTGCTGTGCATGTGGGCATGGTTTGGGCTGCGCCCTTGGCACCTCCGCGGAAAAGTAAGCCAAGCAGGAACTTGACGAGCTACGGTTCACCAAAGCATCTGGAAAGCTAAGGAAAAACGCTTCGCCAAACTTGTTACCCCCAAAAACGCTTCCCCCTCCCTGAATCGTGCCGTGCTGCTCATTGGTCTGAGTGTCCAAAATCATCTCATTGACGTCCGAGGTGGCTTGGCGGCTCATTTCCGTGATCCTGATGGCACTTTGACGCCTTGTGGGCGAATGTGCCACTAGAGACTTGGGAGTCAGTCCCGCTGGTAGGTCTTTCAGCTCGAGATTCACCCCATTGCTGTCCTCGCAACAGACCCCAAAAAAAAGGACTCAAAAAGGACTCCAAGGAAAATCCCGGAAGAAGCCAAGGCTAGACTCCTGCATCCCTGCTTCCAATATCCTGAGCGCCCGTGCTTGGACTCCAATCGCACTCTGACATCAAATGAAGTACACAAAAGAAGTGACTCGCAGGCCTCTCTTACAATGCTAGCTTAGCGTCCCCTCATCGTCTGGCGGTGGAAGAGGAGCAGGAGGTGCCATATCGTTCCATTTTGGACCTTTTGCTCCAAAGTCGTGCTCCTCTGGAACGTACCCACCTGGACCTCCCTCCTCCAAGTGTTTGACCTTTTTCTCCAGCACATGCCTCGAAAGCAACAGCGGCCAGCATGCCGCCTGACCTATGTGAAGTGAAAGTTCTAAAGATGTTGCTGACATGCATTTGCATTCGACGAATGGAAGAGGCCTACCGTGTTCTGCGTGCCTCACATTACTACTCATCGGTCTCTTCCCCTTATCTTATCTTACTATATTTATTGCGTGATTTCTCTCCCTCTCCCTGCTTCTGTCTGTCTGCCTGCTTGCCTCTCCGGAGTTTGTACCTTATAAGTGCAGCCAGATGCAAGCGATCATGTAGCTGCGGCACTAGGCCCGCCAAAGCCACCGTCTCCTCCAACTCTTCAAACCGTTGGTCGATGAGGCGTAGAATCTCAGCCCCAGTGACAGTCCTCAGTGTGGCCTACCTTTGCACATGCCTGCCCTGTCTCTAGCTCGGCCAAGGGGGGCTTCAGCAGCTCAACTCTAAACAGGCCTCCAACGGCCTCCAATCTACTAGCGATGGCTCCAACCTAATAGCAACGGCCTTGGGGCCTTGGGCATCCGCACATGCTTTCTGCCAAGGCACGCATTCGACTTCTTTCCGAAGGGCAGTGTCGGTCCCGGCATCGGGGTGTCACTGCTCCAAGAAAATGGAGAGAGACCCTCTGGACTTAAAACAGCTGCAGAATTTGAAGTGGGAGCGGCACACGGACAGCCCCCGCACACCGCACAGCAGCTTGTGGTTGGTTCAGGACAAGGACGGACCACAACCGGAGACTTTTGGCATGACACCTGATTCACACAAGTTACATTGGTCACCCCTCGTGCTCGGTGAAAATCACACTGAAGCAAAACACCGAACGCGACTCAAAAAGCAGCCGGCCTCAGTTGCACCACACCCTAGGCTTGCGCAAGTGCATGACTGAATTGCCATCATGAGCCTGAGTCATGGTTGCACTCCGAGCTGCATTGGTGTCGCCATGGAAACCGACTGAATCATCAATGTTTTCAAGTGCCTCCTGAATCCTGCATCTAGGTCAGTTGTTCTTGCTCAGTTGAGCCCTTAAAGGGCTTGCCAATTGAAATCTGTAACCCTACCTCCACTGCAAACCAATCATCCCAAGCTGCAGAGTCACAAGCTGGAGCTCTGCAAGCCAACCACTCACCCCAAGGTTCGGGGCGCGTTTGATCCAGGATCGTCCAACAGGCAGTAGCAACGAGGCTTCAGATGTTCTGTTTCCCAACATCCAAATCCCAAGGAGGAAAAAAAAAACTATGAAAATTATGAAAGCTCTGTGCTGCAGGATGCACGGTATACGGCGATCGGCGCACGGCGATCGGCGATCAGCTCAGTCGAACTGTCTAAATGGACTAAACGTGCACGAATTTGCCTCATGCGATGTGAGACCGCATGGACTGTCCGGCCCGCGATTGAAACAGGATCACCACGTGCTCTTGATCACCATGGATCATCTTGCACAGCTTTGCACTGCGCTCGGAATGACAATTGAAATCTTCTGCAACATCTTCAACAACTTGATCAAGCAAGTCTGATCACTGATTCAAGACGGGTCTGAAGCAATGAATTAAGGCGCAGGCTGGGGAAGCTTCAGCAACTCTCAACACATGCCGCGGCAAGACTGGGTGAGCCCAGGGGGGCCCTGAGTGAGGCTACGTTCACGTTCAGGCACGTTCACCACTCTTGTCAGCCTTGTCCTGGCCAAGGCTCCGTCACAAGGCAAAGAAGAAACATCTCCAGAATTCTCAAATCAAGGGAGGTACGTCTTGGAGGACAACTTCAGTGTCGAAGCGCTTCCTGGTCGAAGCGCTTCAGATCCGTCAGTGCTTGGTCACAGCGCCTTTGGAGCGCCAGCCGTTGCTCCAGACCGAGCCCTCGCTCGCCTACGTTGGAGCACGTGATGGAACAGCCAACGGAGGCTCATTGCTCGCCCCAACGGGGGCTCAATCACAGTGATCTAAAAGGGATATAAAATATTATGATATCAAATCCTCTATTATTCCTCTCAATCACGGGTGATATAAAAGGGATATAAAGGAATAATGAGAGTTTTGCCATTTGGCCCTTCTAAAAAGGGTCTCATCATCGGAACAAAAGGCCGACTTTACAGTTTCGTCTGGTGCGTCTATCTGAAGTTTGTACACTGGGACATTCTACTCCTCTACTCCAGCCTAGGCTGTTCAAGGCGGTGCCAATCCACTCCTGACGAGTTCACACAGCTTTCACACGAATTTCAGTGGTGATAAAGAAAGGTCTCAAACCAAGACAACTGGATGCCAAAAGCAGCCAACTCGCCAGCAAAATGGTTGTCCATCGGTGCTCATTCCACAGGTGCATCGGTGCACCTCGAGCATGAATTTCAGGAGCTCCACATCCACCAGGGCAGCCAAGCGAAGCAAGCGCGCCTCGCAGCCGCTCCGAGCCGAGCCGCAGCGGGGGGCACGGGAGGTCACAAGAGGCCAACGGTCCACGCGTCCGGAATGAGTCGAGCCGGAGCCATCTGAGCCGCGGCCTCCACGGAGGGTGGCGATGCGATCAAATGCCAGGCAGTGGCCACAAAAATCACTGCGAGCACTGCCTGCGCAGGACAGGCTGAGTGAAGCCTGTGTGAGCCCACGTTTTCTAGCTCAATGTCCATCTCATATACTTTAATGCCGTCGATGGACCGCACAAAAACTTGACCACAAGGAGGCTCAAAAGGAGCCGGCTCTACACATGCCAAGATCTCACGAGCCTCGATCTCACGAGTCTCCGCGGTGGAGGGAATGTCCAACAAGCGCTGGGAGAGAACTTCCAACACCTGGACCCCACGTGCGGAGAATCTACACATCGCGAGGGTCCAAGCAGGTGCACGTTTGCCACTTGAGGCCAGAGGGGGTGAACGAAAGCTAGCCGGGCGGGGAGGCGTGCGCATGCTAGGGTGTGGCTGCGCAGACAACCAAGCAACAAACCACCAAGCAGCAGCAGCAACGGACCACCAAGCAGCTGCAGCAGCAGCAAACCACCAAGCAGCTGCAGCAAACCACAAAGGAGCAGCAGCAGCAGCAGAAGCAGCAGACCACCCAGAGCAGCAGCAGCAGCAGACCACCCAGCGCCAGCAGCAGCACCAAACCACCCAGCAGCAGCAGCAGCAGCAGCAGACCACCCAGCAGCAGCAGCAGCAGACCACCCAGCAGACCAAGCAGCAGACCAAGCAGCAGACCAAGCAACGAGCACACCAGGCAGCAGCAGCAGCTAATTTGTTTCCACCCGCTCACCGCGCGCAGGGGGAGTTGAACCTCCGGAGGGGGGGGGTCCATAAGATTGATTTAATCAGTTATTTGAGGTTTCTGAGGCGCGTCCACCCCGTCATTTAACTTGCTAAAGCAAGAGCAACTTCAGCTAGCTAAGGCTAGCTTTCGTGATCTGCCCCACCTCCGCAATCATGGAGAAAAGTGTCTCCTTGTCAACCACAGAGACCTTGAAGTGTTTTGCCCCGTTGAGGAGTTGTGTTGAAGCTTTTTCCACAAGATCGTCACATGCAGAGACCCACCAATGTTCGAAGTCTGAGGCAGCAGCAGGGTTCAAAAAGCCTGGAACTTCACTAACCACTCGTCTCAAGGCTTTTTGCCATCGCAACATATCCTGCCATGAAGTCTGTTGAAAAGCACAGGTCACGAAAAATCACAATGACAGCAGAGCTGCACACATCACAGACCGCATGGCATCACGGAGGGGAACAAAGGAAGGCAAACTTCATGCAGCTGTCAGCGGTGTAGACGTCTGTTGTAGGGGCTTCGTCTCTGTCCCTCTGTGTCCCTCAGGTCCCTCAGAGAGGCCTCGTTGTATTCGCAGATCAGCTGGATGCGCTGCGTCACGTCGTCCGAGGCTGCGCACGCGTCGATCTTCCTCACCCTCTTCTCCTGCACGTTTGGCCCCAAAGTAAGGAGTGGAACAAGAACCGTGTGGGTCGCAGTGGAAATGGAGGAGTCAAGAAATGTCTGGACAGAATTCCAAAGAAAAAAAAGGTGCAACCTCCCCCCACTGCACTGTTTCAGCAAGCTGCCAGGAAACAATCAGAATTTCCAACTCCCGAAATTGCTCTCAGCTCTCCTCATTTGCGATTAATTCTTCAATGTCATGCTCGTCAACTTCCCCTGCATATCGCAAGCCAAAGCAACACCCAAGCAATCAGTTGCTGTCTGCGAATCCATTGAGGACTTCATGCTTGAAAGGCTAGGACTAGGAAACCCTATCAACAAAACCATCAGCCATGTCTTGGGCATTAGATGCAGGCAACCTACTCCAAAGCCTAAGATATATAATATATTTGGTTTCAATCATGCTGTGCAGGAATCCGACCGGAAAAAATAAAACACGCCGGGATCAAAGCCGGCCACGGCACATGGATGCTTCGACTTGATGCGAACAGCCCGCTGCAAGTTCGCAGAGAGGCGCTTGATCTCCTGAAGGAGCATTTTTCAGGGGCACGCCTCTGTAGTAGGGAAGGCTACCCTTGCTGGGGCCCACCTGCATCATCTAGTACCCATACTCTACGCTCTGAGCTGCAAAGAACAACGGAGATTCCATTGGAGAGCCCACTTCCACCGAGCCCAGCAGCTCGGTCGGATCCGACCGATCCTCGAAGCCATCGTACATCGCCATCACAGCAGCTGCCCCTGTAAGCGACGCATATGCGGCCTGCTCAGCCGCCTGGTAGCCCAGGGTGTTCCCAGTCACATCGCCTTGAGGTTCCCAGTGGCAGGTGTTGTCCTTGGGGAGCTGCAAGTGAATTCCAAGATGCTTCACAAAAAGTTCACCCAAAAAAGAGGGAAAACTCTTGAACGTAACCAGAGTGCTTTAGACTGTTTCACCTATGCCGATGTGGAGCAGCTGCCTCAATTCTGCACGCCCGTCCGGAAAAGCGTCCATGCGAGGTGACTTGTTAAGTCACACTGGGACATGAGACAGGAGCCAAGGCCGCGGACCGCGGGAGAAGAGGTGGAAGGTGGTGGAAGATGAAAGCAAGCAAACGAAGGCAACTGGTTCAGTTCAATGTAGCAAGGTTGAGATATAGACATAGAGTGATAGTGGAAATGAAATAGCGCATCATGACAAGGCTGCAATGCCACAGCAGCCCTTGTCAGGTTTGATGTGGCGATTCTCCAGACAGGTGGATCGCCTTGTAGGCGATGAGGCAGCCACTCGATCGCCCATTCAGCCGCAAGCAGAACCGAAAGCCCAAGCAGATCACGTGCGATCTGACCTCCAACAGCCTTCCCGGCCACATGAAGGACACCACGAGCGCGCAGATGTGCACGGGCGCCGTGCATCGGGCGCAGACGTGAAGGACAAAGCAAAACAAAAATGGAAAGGATTTGGTTCAGGAAGGTCTAACTTGCGGCTGCCAGCTTCAAGGATTGAAACGATGGTTTGTATAACTGTTTTTTCCTTTGGTTGAATGGATCTTGGCCCTGAGAACCCCTGTCCGAATATTCCGATGCTTCGATGGCAGATTGCATGCCCAGCACTCGCGCAGCATTTCCCAAGTGCACCGCAGCTTCTAACCTCAGAGGGTCCGCTTCGGAGTCCGAGTGGTCCGAGTGGGCAAGTGGCATCGGATGCCACTTGGGTGCGGTCGCCGACTTCAGCCATCCAACTTCCGTTCCTCTTTTTTCACCACTTGAGAAACGCAGACTTGTAAATCTGGTAAATTGGCTTTGAAACAGAAAAATGATTAGTACAGTATAGTGCACCAAAAAAGGAGATAATACTTCTTTTTGTAAATATAAAAAACTGTATTCTGCACGCACAAAAAAGCACATGCAAAGGCTGGCTGCCAAATCCACCACCAGCCTAAGACACGTGGATAGATGATAGACCCCCCTCCCAAGCCCACAGGAGCCGAGCAGCTCATCTTGTGTCCGGTTCGCCTGCTCCAGGAGGTCAGCAATGGTCTGACCATCCATTCCTTCTTGTAACTCTTTGTGTATCATCTTAAAGATCGGAGTGGCCTACAAAGCCACAAAGCAAGCAAAATAGCAAGCACGGAAAGCGCTTTTGGCGCAGCTGCAGCACGGAAAATGTTTCGAAAGTGCCGTCCCCAAAGTGAAGATGTCAAAGGTCGTGTTAACAAGGGTATAGGTGGCGCAAATTCGACGTTCGGCTCAAGACATGAAGAGAGTGGCTCTGTTTCAAACAGCCCGATGGCCAGCGCGGCTAGATCTGCGCCGCTGTGCACAGCCCTGAACCCGGCGCGCCTTCCCAGCAAAGCTCGGCATCTTCCCTCCGACATTTTTGGCGTTGTTGCCGGCCTCCATCACAGATCCTCACAGCCCGAAGCTAGCTAGCTGATGTGTAAGCTGCAGCGACGACGACGCGTGGGTTTTATGGCAGCAACGACGTCTACGACTTTGGACTTGCACGGTGCTCCGCAGGTCTTGTGGTTCCCTATTTCCCTTCCCACACAGCTTCTTGCCTCGTGGGTGTTGCCAAGGCTTGGAGCTGTCGATTGCAAGACTCTCAATCGAATTTACCCAGCAATCGGTTCAATAGCAAACAAAACCATGACACGCCCATGTCTCTGTTCTCTGGATTCCTTCGTTGCTCACCTGGGCATGTCTGTACCAACCCGATCGCTGATGATCAATGTGTCGGCACCGAGGCCAAACCACCAGCAGTTTATCCATGTTGATCCATCCAGTTCTTGAGCGGCACACCGGAGAAGCGGAGCGCGCGCAAACGGCGCCGCGCTCCGCTTCGCCGGTGTGCCGACACGACACGACACACGGGCGAGTCAGCACAGCCATGGCCTCCAACCTAAGAGCGGCCAAACCCTTTCTTCCCGGTGCCTGCACAATGAAGAGAAAGGCCAGTTCGCCCAATGATGCTACTGCTGCGCCAGGGGCCAACCTCTACTGCCCCCCACCGGCTGCTAGTGCCTTAGATGTGCACAACACAAATGGGAACTAGCTTTTTCCCCGCGCAGTTGCTCAAGCAAACTGCAGTACTCTTTTTGCATCAAAATCATGCTGTAAATTGAAGGTTCGAAAGGGCAAACAAGACGGACACATGCGGACACCTTTTACATGCTAACTGATAGTCCGGGAGTCCGTCTTAGGACGATTGCCTGTATGGTCAGGGAAGTCAATCAACGGCAACGGCTTCCTTTTGAGATTGTGCCCTTCAGCCAGGCGACAGTTCTCGCTGTCGTCACTCTCTCCACAACTCTCGCTTTCTAGATCCTCCTGGTAGTCTTCCGACGGCGCACTCTGCGCTTGGCTCTGCGTCTCACTGGGCGGCCGGAGACCAGCACTACCGGCTTCCTCGAGACCGGTCTGACGGTCCTGACCTTCCTTATCTTTTCTTTTCACACTTGTCTGTCGTTCACGCTTCTTCCCATGCACCTTTTTCCCACGCTCGGCCTCTTTCCTGAGAGAAGACTGGAGAAAGAACATCGGCATGAAAATGCTTGCGCGCTCATGTCCTGCAAACATCTAGCATGGAAGCAGACTGGTCGGAGGCTTTCTCCTTTCTAATCAATTGATGTTTTATATAACCGGGAAGTGTCACCGTGTCACTGTCATTCGACTCAAAAAACTGGAAATTCTATGCCCCCAGCGCCACGGAGCTGGGCAAACTTCGAGTCTTCTTGGGCTTGCACAGCTGGTGCATGGAGAGAGCCATCTGGAGCGAAAAAAGGAACGACGACATAGAGCAGGACCAACCAAACGCGGAACTTCTGCAAGGTGTTTCGTTCGAACCCCTCACCATTGCAAAAGCTCTTAGAGATATTGTGTGCTTTCTTTCTTAGGGCACAAGTTGTGAACAAACACCTCTCAAGAGGTGGAGCCAGTCCCTTCATTTCAGTCCTGCTGTGCATCCCAATTGCCAAACACTGAGCATCCGCATTTCCCAAACCGACCTTTAAGCCCTTTCATGCAATGTCAGCTCCCACTTCACCTGCTGCAAGGCACCTGAGCACTTCTCAGTGCCTCTTGTGCCTCGACTCTCATGTCCTTGGGAAACTTGCTCGGGAACCTCGGTCGGCACCGGGAACGGTTCTGCGTCTTCCAACCGAAAGCGTTTCGGCAGGGGGGGCCCATCCGAAAAAGAACAAAAGAAACACCTCTGAGTTCACATCATGCAAAAAGGTGCATGGCTGCATGATGTGCTGTGCCCACACCCTCATTTTGTTGATTCCTTCCTTCCTTGGGGGGTGGCATAGAATAGACGAAAAAGTCCAAGCCACGCAGTTTGAAGGATGTTCACCTGCTCCTTGATTTCCTCGTTATCATCCGTTGGCAGGACGCCCGCCTCAAAAGAAAGACACCACGCGCGGTCAGTCCGTTCTTCCACTTCTCGTCGCGTCCGGTTCGACCCAGACGACCCGCCAGGTCCGCGCGAGTGAAGCGAAATCCAGCGACGCTGGCTCGTCGGCTCGCCAGAAATCACCCAAACATGGTTCCTCCATCTTCCTCGGACAGTAGTTAGTTCAAACAGGGTGCGTTGTAGGCGCAAAGCTTCTCGTAGGCATCTTGCAAGGCTTGGAAGGCTTCCTTTGAAGTGTCGCCTTGCCTGCGCGTGTTGGTTCCGCTGCCGGATTGACTAACCTGGGTTCAATCGCACTAACCGTGTTCAACAAGGCTTCAATAGTGCAAGTGTTTGATATCCAGATTCCGCACCAACTGGTCCCGTCTCGCACCCTGCCACTCGTCCAACTGAGCCCGCTTCTTGTAAGCCGCTCAGTTGTTGCAGGATCCTCTCACCAACGAGGACGGCATCGCCCATTCGGTGCACGTCGGTGGTGGGACTCCACACAAATTCACGACATGTGACGAATTCACAGCATGCCTGCCACAGCTATACACCAGGAGCTGCGTCCCAAAAAATACTGTCCCGCGTGATGGCATGCCAAATCAAGGACACCCAATGCGAGCCCACAGTGGGAGGACTGTCAGTCTCACACCGCTAGCGAAATGATCCTTAAGAAGATCCGCTCAAAAGAGATGCCAAGGCATTGCCAAGGATCGTCTACTTCTCTAACTCTCGTCTCGCACACTAAAAATGGGCTTACCCAACTCACGTCTCGCACATTAAACATGCGCAAAATTGGACTAGGCAGGTAGAAAACGGAAGAATGTATTGTGGCCATCACGGGATCATTCTGTCCGTGCAAAGGACAGAGTCCGTGCCATACCGACGTCCGTGCCTTTCAGAGCACTCGAAGTCGATATCCTCATCGTCAGTCTCTACTTCGAGAAAGGTTCGCCGCACGACGATTTTGTGCGTCGCAGGCGGTCGGGTTTCCTCAGGCAAGCTCTGTGCACCCGGCGGCTGCGGCAAGAAGCGGGGCTTTACATCCTCATGCACGTTGGGTGCCGTCGTGCCACCATTGGCACGTCTATACGCTGTCTTTTGCAAGGAGAAGGCCTCACCAAACATGAAGCGAACACTGGACCACTGGCGCTGCAGCACGGCTGCTTGGTAGGGCACCAGCTGTCGGCCGTCCAGTGTGTTGAAGACGTCGATTTTCTCGCCCAGGGCTTCCAGAAAAAGTTCCAAATATTCCGAAAACATGAACTTCTCTCCAGTCGGATTGAAGCGAGTCCATGCCGTCAATCCAAGCTGCTCTCCTGCAGCAATGGTCACCGTGGGCTTTTGCTTCCGAGCCGCTGGGAGGAATGGAGGACCTCGTTGCCAACTTTGAATGGCGAGGATGGTGTAGAATTCCTCGGAACATCGAGAAGCATACTTCAAAAGGCTCAGCGACCTACTGAGTTACTGGAGAGCAAGGTTCTCAGACCGCGAACTCAATGCAAATCAATGCCAAAAAAGGCGCCCAAGCCGGTCAAATCCCCCAACACACAACGGAGCAACGTGAAAGAAAAATAAGAACAAACAACCCGAGTCCTCATCCATGGCCCGCATCTCTTTGATACCAGGGCAGTTCAGGAACCACTCTGTGCTTTTGCGTGCCGACTCTAAAACTCGCCGAAACTGCGGAACTGCCCAGTGCGCGAACCGAACTTCCTCCTGCACGCTTAAGACCACCAGGACGTCGCAAGCATCGAGCATCCGTGTGGGTCGGCAGATCAGGAGGACATCCCGGATCTCACCAAAATCTTGGGAATGGGTATAGCTGGCGTGTTTCTCCCGCGGGAAGTCCCGCACCAGCCTCTGCCTTGCAAGATTTTCGCACTGGTGCGACTTGCTGAGTTGCCCAAAGAGAATGGTGCACAGCCGGAACAGGCCTGGGCAGGTTTTAGGAAGAGACCCAGCAGCCCATGGAGCCATGAAAAGAAGCCAGGTTTTTCTTTAACACTTCGAGCAGCCAGACGGTCTGCCGGTAGCCTTCATGCCTCTAATTGTTGGTTGGATGGGAATCAGGCCCCGTAAGTTAGGTGTTCAACAAAACTTGAGTACACTTGATCGATTCGAGACACCACACCACGCCCAAGATCGCACAAGGGCATCACCGGGCGCCAGGTGGTTCACAAGCACCAAGCCGCTCTCATTGGGGGCGGGGCCCAGTTCCTCAGAATCACCGTCAAATTGAGCACGAACCTCTGGTCGAACCAGGATGTTGGAGCTGTCGTTCGGGGGCTCTTCGATGGCGATACCTCCAGCATGCGAGGGCAGGGAAGGAGGCACAAATACATCTTCTTTTCGTTTGAGTTCTGGACTGCTGAACCCAAAACAAAAATAATTAATGGATGGTCAACAGGTCCTTCTTATCGGGGTCAGGCTGAAATACGAGAAAGAACACGCGGGTAAGGTTCAAGTCTTTGGTGAAATATATCGATGAACTGGGGGAGAAGAATTAGAAAAACACTAGTCGAGCACTTTGAGCTTCCATCCAACGTGATCTTGATCAGTCTTCCACCCCATGGGCAAAGGCAGTGGGACAATCTGTCGTGATGATCACTTGCAATCTCCCAGCCCTGCGACGACAGGAGGTGTGGCAAACGGTCGAACCACTCCTGTGCCGACACAGGGCGTGTCGCCATGACGGTCGCCCTGACTGCTCCAAAAACCCGACCTCCAGAGCCCAAAAGCGGAAAGAGCAGCGAAACCCAGGGCGCCAGGCGAATGTGCCGGAAGGGAAGCGCCAGGGCGCTCATCAAACAAACTATTCAAGGACCCCGAAGGGCTCCTTAAGTCTTCAACTGTTGGTCGAATCAGTGAACCGATTTTCCATCTTATCATTCGGCTATCATTCTCGTTTTTGTCATTCTTATCATTCTCTCTGAGCCTGTCTGGATGCAGCTCCTTGGCACGTTTTCTGTAGGCTTTCGTCAGCATCTCATTGCTCACAGGCAAGCTCTCCAAACCCAAGATGAACCTCCCAGGGCAGCTGCAGCCAGCAAGAGACACTGCAAACACACCCACTGGCTGGCGCAAGAGTTATGATAGCACGACTGCTTTAAGGCATAGCTGGTCAAGCAGGTGGTGCCATCACAACGCTTTTCGCTCGCGACACCTCTCCCTCGCTCCATTCACGCTCTTCCTCGGTCCGGGGCGGCGACGCTCGAAGCTTCCATGGCCCGCCCCGCCTGCAGCGATCCAAGAATTCCGTCTCTTGAAGAAGTCTCAGTTCTTCACCTGTAGCGTAGCGCAGCGAAGAGCGTGAAAGAACCGAAGCGTTATGGTCGGTCTACCGCTTCTTCGCGTGGAACAAAGCCGTAAAATCTGCGCAAAAGAGCTGGCAGAACGGCCAAAAAAATAAACTAAGAACTAAATAAAACGTCCTGTCTCTCGTGTTCGCTCACTGGTCTGCTCTTCTTTGGGGATGTGAAACCTTTACACACCCACTGTCACAACGGCTATGCCCATCATTGTTCTGTTGCTTCATAAACAAGACAAAAGAATAAGGAAGGAGGAGGAGGAGGAGAGAAAAATAATGCAAAGACCGGATTAATAAACCCCCCCCCACATGGTAGGTCAACAAGGTCAAGATGATATGAGATACCACTCATGAGGTCCACTCCCCCTGAATAATGTGCTATGAGACCATTGGACCATGAAGGTTTGAGAGGGGATGAGCTGATGAGCATGAGGCCAGAGAGGAATTGGCTGGTAACATTTGGGCTCAGAATGGGTATGAGCTGGTGAGCAGGTGAGGTAGTCTCATAAGCCACCATGGGGGTTCTTCTCCACAATGCCTTTTGGGCATTGGCTGATGAAGATGAGGCACCTTGGCTTGAGATGAGCAGCATGAGGTGAGAGTGGCTGAATGAGCAGCATGAGGTGAGACTTGCTGAATGAGCAGCATGAGTTGAGAGTATAATGTCAAGTCAGGATAAAGAAACCTCCACTAGTTAATCCCTTAGTAAAAGTTTTTTTTTTGGATTGTGTAGACTCGGATTAACTGGGGGGGATTGTTGGTAGTAAACTAGACCATAGGGGTGGAAATCAACAGCCAATAATACTTTTAATTTGGGCAATTTCCGGCGGCTTTGTGGGCTCGGGTTAACTGGGGGGGGATTTATTAATCCTGACTTTTCATTAGCCACTTCATAGACACCGCTTGCTTCAAAAGTCTCCATTCCCAACCTCAACTCGTACCAGTCAAGTAACGAAGCTTGTGCAAGGACTTCAGGTATATCCACAGCTGATCTTGTTTGTCTTCGTTGTCAAACCCACTGGCTAGGTGAGCTTCTCCTGTAGTGGAGGTGAACCCAGAAGCCGTATATGCAACTCCACGTGTGGCTATGAATCCGAAACCCAAAAAGTGCCAAGCAAAAAAACATGCCGTGATTTGGATGCTTGGCTTTTCCCCCACCACATCATGACACGCTTTGAGAGCACGGCTGGCAGCGGAATTGGAGGCTTTGCCGTGGGACTTTTGAATCTCAACGAGCTTCAGCAGATCGTGGTCTGTAAGCTCACCTCAGTCGGGTGGCGGCTCTGCGGGGCTCCGCGGCTTCGCCCGGGCGTTTTGAAGTCAACGACCCGTGACCAGTTTCCTGGTCCAAGCAGTCTCCACCGGAAGCCGCAGAATCGGGGGCAGAAGCGTCCTGGCTCCAAGCGCCACCCAAGGCACTCAGCACTGGGGAGGCCAGTTCCTCCAAACGAGATGGTCCACCTTTCAGGGACGCAGCTCTCAGGATCTCCAGCTTGATGGCAGCATCCAGCAGCCTGGGCAACTGGAAGCTTTCCAGCCCACAACGAGGCGACAGCACTTGTCCACCCGAACACTTTCGGAAAGGAAAGACCAAGACGAAGACTGCAAAAGGATGCGAGTTTCCAGCATCTCACTCGCGTCCGAGCGTCGTTCGCTGATTCCCGGACGATGCCGGGTGTGCCTTCGCCGGAAGCAAGTTGAGAACAGCTCAAAGAGGATTGAGCTGAGAGCTTTGCTTGGCCTATATATTGTTAACAGGATGTCTTCAAAAAAACACTGTGCCGCGTATGCTCGTTCGTGTGCCTTCAGTTGCAGGCGTCTGTAGGCCAGCGACAGGACCAGTGGTTGGTGGCCACCCACCAACAAGATGGACGCATCCTGCTGGAACAGCTTGGAGCAGGTTTCATAACATTTGTGAAGCATAGCATAACAAAGCTTTGGCGCTACCAACAAGGCTTTCAACAAGCTGCTCCCACTGTGCAAGCGAAACGTCCTCGTTGGGGAGTCCTTGGCATGACACAAGATTGGGGTCCTTGAAGGAAGCACTCCTGAATAAATCTGAATAATACATCAGGACTAATTGGAACTTTGATCAGACGGCATGGGAACCGGAGGCAGTGACACTTCCACCCTCACTCGTGTAGTTGGTAGCCAAGGCACCCTGATGAAACCACTTAAATGCATCCGCAACAGCCTGGCCAGGACTCACAACTGAATAGCAAAATTAGGCCAAATCCAGCCTCTGGACTGCATGTGAAGCTGGGCCGACACAACAAATGACAAGAAAAAGTGAGACACCAGAGGCCAAACCCGACCAACCTATGTCGGATTGGTTTAACTCTCTCCCTCTAACTGAGGGCATTCATTTTTCAGCAGAGTGAGGCGAAACTGAATCGAATCGAATCGGATGACTCCGCAGACCTTCTCCGGCGAGATGGGCGCGGAGCATGGCAGAAAAGCGGCCAGGGGGCTCGTCGTGCCCTTAGGGTGAGCTATCTAAGATTCACCGTGCATCTTCTACCTGTACAAGAAGGATTTTGACAACTGAACTATCTAGAAAAACGGACCTATCAACAGCTCTGCACTCTGCTTGGCTTAGCGGCTTAGCACTCGACTCCGTCGACTCCTGGCCGCTTGCAGCCATGACACTGGCAAGGTCGCAAGGCCACCGGCCAGCGCCCCCAAATTCCAAGGTTTCGCCGTCAGTAGCATGTGGTCCACCAGCGCCTGACGTGCCTCACGGCAGTGGGCGGCGTAAGCAGACATTCCGTCACTCACCAAGGTCACTGAAAATGCACCATAAAATGCAGTTCTTGAAGCTTTGATCACTTGATCACTTGAAAGACCTTGAAAGATGCACCCGCAGAACTGTAATCTCTAGGCAGTCATCCCAAGAAGTTCACAGCCTGCACAGGTAGTTTTTTTTAGCTCTCCTCAGCCCCCGCTGGCATGCCTGGCTATTGATATCAGAGTCATCAATCCAAGGAGTGCCATCATCAAGACATTCGTAGGGTTTGGCCCTCCTCAGAAGCTGCTAGTACAGAGCCGACGGACCGACGGACTTGCAGTGCTGGCATTTGCGGTTGGAATCCGACGATGCGACCGAGTCTAAGGGCATGGTTCTTTTTTTTTTGGGCGACAGTCGATACAAAGGAAAGTGGAGGGCCGGACCTGCATGTTGAAGTCGCCCCGTGCCCTTCGCTCACAACCTAAACCATCTGCAGACTGCGCCAAGCGTCCGTTTTCGCACCGACGTGCCCGCACGTTGAATGCCATCCACAATGCGGGCCCAGCACAGCGGCCAGGAGATTCGACCCTGCACAGGTGATGCGAACCTTTCGGATCCTTGCTAAACCTATGCGTCGCAGGTTTAGCGCTTTTAGCTACCGATCATCAGGATCTCTGCAGGAAAAATAACTGCTCACTCTGACTGAAGAAACGATCACCGTGCCTCCAGCCACTGGCCGACAGCGGTCGCATCCAGCCCAGACTCAGGTAGAGTAAAGGCCCAGCTCGCCGGGAGCATCCGAAGGTCCCCTGAGAACTCCAAACCAAGGAGTTGAGCTGGTTCTGATGTTCCAATCTCAGCTTAACCCATTTGGCGACACCAAAAGCCCACCACGCATGAGTCGCATGAGTCATGCTCTTGATCACCAAGCTTGCCATAAGCAGAGAAGAGCATGCATGGCCGTGCCTTGCTGAAAGGAGGTCCGTGCTGGCTGAAGAGCACGCCCATCACACTGGAGGTAGCCTGGAGGGAACGGAACGGCCACGCAGAAAGAATCATGTTCGGTCTTTGGGCGATGAAGGGCGGCAAAGGGAGATTCGGAACGATGCAGCAGGGTACAAACCACCACTGCGAGCAGCGAGGCCAGCGGCATCCTGTTGTTGACCACGGGGCTGATCAAAGTGCCAGTGACATCTCAACATGTAACATACAAATTGATAGAAGACTGGGCCCATCGGATTCTAATATAGCATATATAAATAGTATACAACTTGCACAGGCCCACCTAGCAGCTCTTTGTTCCAGACCGGCACCACGACAGCCGACCTGAAGGAGTGACTTCAAATTGGTTTGAAGCGGCACCAGAATGAGTGACTGCTGGCGACATCTACGTCCACCCAGGCTCTGACTGCTCGTTGGGATCATCTGCTTCAGTCTTGCCTTGTAGTGAAGGTTCCCCTCCCTGTTCGGCATGCTTGGCGGTTCCTGCCGAATGTGATGCACACAACACAGACTGATCACAGCACAGGCTAAGCATCGCCTGCAGCCGAGCGTGTCGAGCACTGTTCCTCCGTTGCGTTCGGAGCATCTTTGAAGGTGACCTTTGCTGCCTTCGATGCAACACCTGTGTCGCGGAGAGCTGTAGCCTTCACTGG